TTCTATCTCCCTCCCCCCTTCTCTATCCATCCATCCATCCATCCATCCATCCATCCATCCATCCATCCATCCGTGCCCTCCTGCCCAGCTGTGTTGTGTTAATCCAACCACTTGGGCTGTGGAGGGGGAGTGGAGTCTGGCAGGCAAAGCCAAATATTGGAGGTCCAGGCAAAATAAGGCAACTCCAATCCAGACAACTGCGCCCCTTCCCTTGCAACTGTAATAGGGTATTACTTACCCTAAAAATACAGGGAATATCTTTTCGGCTTGCATGAATGACATCAGAAGCCAGAACAGAACACACCGAGAATTCTTCATCCCTTTTATAAAGACATTAGTGAGAGATTATTACATTTGAACAGTAACTATTCACATTCTAGAGCAGAGTTTCTTAACCCCTCTCTAATGGACATCTTTGAGAGTCGGGCTATGGACTTCTCAGAAAAATGTATCTAAATTATAAAATAAAAATTGTTTTACAAAAGAAATTGATTATGCTCAAATACAGTTATCAAAATATTCAAAATGATAAATACGTAACATAGAAACGTAAATTAGAAATTACTGAAAATAAAATTGTATTTTTTTTTCTGATTCAAAACCATAGACTCCCTAAAATCAACCTAGACCCCCAAGCAACCCATGACCTCAATTAAGGACCTCTATTCTGGAAGAAAATCATATTAGCACAACATAGAGTTGTAATGATGTTTTATATTTAGCTCACCATAAAAATAAATACATTCACTCAATATCTGTACCAAATAATTTCTTCATATAAATGTTTGCTATTCATTTGTAAAATTGTTTTTCTATTGGTATAAGGGGGCAAAATGTAAGAATGAGATATAAATCAAGTAGGAGACCTCTCGAAGTGTCACAACAGAAAACTCCGATAAACTTTTAAAATAAAATTTCAAAATAATGTTGCTGTACTTATATATCCCCATCACCAAAGACTACAAAATTAATTTTATTATCTTGAAGATATCTGATCTCTTAGTTTGAAATTTTATTTGCAACAACTCAATACCGGTAATTTTTTAACTCTTAAAATTTATTTAAGTCTTTAGAATTTTATTTATTATCTATTTATTCATCATATTGCTATAGCTGCCCATGACCTAAAATGTTATCTGTTCTCCATACAACACCTCAAAATAGTACAGAAATCTAATTAAACAAACAAATCAAGAAATATATACTTATTCATTTATTTATTGCAGAAAAAATCCAAAGTGATTGGGAGGTTTGCAGAGTGCAAAAACTTTTTTTTTAAATTTCCTTTTCGAAACCTTGCTGTGTCTTATACTCCGGTGCATCATATGGTAAAGTTTTAGGAATATTAGTTCATTTAAAGAGAAAATTATAATCAGGTGTTAAAGTCAATGGGATGACGGCTGTGAGAGTTTTGCAATGGCCAAGTCCATCTCCTGACCTAAATTCTGTTGAAATGTTGTAGAAGGACCTCAGGGAGGTAGTTAATGAGGGGAAGCACACTAAATCCTCTAGTGGGAGAAAGGGGCTAAAATGTCTCCAAACAAATAGACAGGACTGATTGACATTTATGGGGTCTATAGCATTCTCCGAGGTTGCTTGGTTGCAGATGTTAATGCACTAATGATGCACTGATTCAGTGCACACCAGTTAGTTAGTCGGGTAATAAACAATCTGAAAACAAACAACTGAGCTCAAAGAGCACTAACGACTCTACAATTCAGCTCTGAGCTACGTACAGTACATTCTCTTCTATTGATTAAGAATTAACAAAAAGGTTTAGTTGAAATTATTGCTGCCCAAGAATCAGTTACTAAAAGCAAAGGTTTACATTCTTCCCCCAAAATATGTGGTTTTGGATCATTTTCCACAATAATCCAATGAACAAGTGTAATATTTTAGACTCATTTGTTTAACTGGGTTCTCTTTTTCTAGTTTTTGAATTTGTGTACATAATTGATCACATTTTAGTTCATATTTATGTAGAAATACTGAAATTTCAAAAAGGTTCTCAAACTTTTAAGCACCACTTTATATAGGTGCAATTAGCAAGTGTTTAAAAAGAAGATGTCCTACTGACCAATTATGAATATACACTAATAATAAATCCATTTAAAGAGAGATATGATTCTTTACCTGAAGCAACAATCGCTAACATTTTAAAGCTTCTAGTTCCATAATTTTCCACCATATTTAAAGGTCAATATTTCCATACTCTACCAGAGTTACTGCTGAAGTTCTTCTAAGTACAACTTATCAGAAAAGGATAGGCTGTAGAAAATGGTCAACTTTTATGTTATTCATATCGGCAGAGTCTCAAAAGAGAAGCACTTGCTGCCTTGGGTATTAAATTAAAGCATGCCATTCCTACCTCATATCAAGAACCTGACTAACTACCACACTGGGTTGGGATGCTTTTCCTTCTGCTATATCATAAAGGAAGAGCTTGAAGTCACAAACAATAGCCAGGGCTCTCTGCCAGCCTTTCTTCACTCCAGCTGGCTTAGGGATCTAAAATAAATTTAATCACATTAATTTAATTAAATACATAAAATCAAAACGGAAAACAATGTTAACATCTAAGCATAATATGCAAAATGTACTTTCAACATTTATACAAAAAACATTCACCAAGTCAATCAGATATACATTTATACAATAGAACCTCTGATAACGAATGCTTCTGACCATGACCAAATTGGGTTCCGACCAAAAAATTCAAAAAAAAAATTCCCTGGGCTGATTTCCCTTTCTGCACCATTTTTTTTTTGTAAGCACCAAATTTACAAAATTAGATTTGGGTCACGACCAAATCAGTTTGCGACCAAAGTTATGGAATGAATTATGGTTGTGACAAGAGGTTCTACTGTACCAGAGGTGGGTTCCTACCAGTTCGCACCTATTCGGTAGAACCGGTTCGTCAAATCTACCGAACCGGTTAGAAGAGGTTCCGCCAGCGGACCCGGAAAGCAGGCCACACCTACAGAAGAGGTTCCAATTTTTTTTGAAATCAACCACTGCTAAAGGGTTAGGGGTGAAAGGATCTTGTAACTTGACAGCTTTAAGACTTGCATGCTTCAATGCCAAAGTTCCTGAGCCAACGTGACTGGAGGAGGAATTCTGGGAGTTGAAGTCCACAAGTCTTAAAGCTGTCAGGTTTGAAGACCCCTAGGTTTTTTTTTCTAAAGGGTTAGGGGTGCAAGGGTCTTGTAACTTGACAGCTTTAAGACCTGCATGCTTCAATGCCAGAGTTTCTGAATAGCTACTTGGGCCGACCTAAGTACTAATTCATAATTTCATATCCAGTCACATGGGTGGCAAGCCACTCCCACAAAGGAGGCCACACCCACAGAGTAGGTTCTAACAATTTTTGAAACCCACCACTGTACTGTACTATAAAAATAAGTTGATTTAATGGTCATGTCCTCCTTCAAATAGAGTAGTGAAGAAATGATGCCTCTTCTACATGCAAGATTACATTGATCTGAGATCAATGCTAGCTCCGACTTCCCACAAAGAAATGGGTCTTGAATAAATGAACTACAACTCAGCTTGAATTCTAGGAGTATTGTTGCAGTGAAAATGTTGTAGCATTTCTTCTGGAAGTATATGGCAAGTGGTTCCCACTGAGAGGAATCCCTAGTTTATCCAATTTCTTGGAATTTCTTATTCTGTTCTGCAGCTAAGGCACTTTGGAGTTGTGCCACAATTCATGTCCTCTACAGTCACTCTGGAAGGCATCATCTTCACTAACCATACAATGTAATCTTTTTTATTTATTTCTTTTTCTCCCATGGACAAAAACAAATACAACAGGAGATTAATCAATGAGTGTTTGGGGTATTAGCTGATTATGTTTTTCATGCCCTTCCACTAGCCAGCTGGAGGGAGTACTGGCCACCTTTATAGGATAATGAAGTACAACAGGATTGACATTAGCAAATTGGTACAAAATTGCAATACCAATAACAATATGTGACAATATGGAAGTACCCTGAAAACTACCAACTCCTAGCTTTTTCTAAATATCTCCAAGCTTTTGTTGTAAAATGATAACAAATTCTCATTTCAGACCCACCCACCCACCCACCCTATGAATATCAATGGTAAACAAAAAACAACACAGGTTTTCTTAGACTTACTCGGACATGCCCTTCATAAGCAGTTCCTATTCCTTTCTGTGGATCAATCCCTAGAGGACCTTTTGTCTGTTCAGGTGGGATGGGACATACTGCTGGTGCTTTGTCTGCACAGGTCACATGGCATGAAAATCCACAGACTGGGAGGAAAGACAGTGTTTGTAATGAAAATGTACATCTATCCTTGTTGATTGCGCAATAATTATTTTAATAATATGAAAAATAATAATAAGCTCAAACACCCCTGGCAATTTTTCTTGGCCAATGAAACTATGTGTCTACTATATGGTATGCAGCAAATGCATGTCACTATAAACTTCCATTCCAGATTTGCTATAGATAAACATGTCTGTTCACTGCATTAATACCTTCAGGGCTATTAAAACCATAGCCATATTTAAACCAAAACGAGCCATTTCAAAGAAATTCTAAATATATATGTTCTGATGAAGGTTTATACTTCTGTAACATTTAAATTGCTAATTTATAAAGAGCAATTTATGAATTTGGATAAGAAATGAATATAAAACTAATTGTCTAATTCATCTGAGATACTGAATTTCTGTTCAAAAAATTTACTTTTTAACAGAATCAGATGTTACTTCATATATATCTTCCACATCACTCTTTATCAGTTCTACTTTCTTGAGCTAAAATGAACATACATAAAGAAAAGTTCATTATAAAATATTTTGTTAAGTTTCATAAAATGGATAGCCCACCCTCCCACCTAGGTTGTAGTACGTGAAATTTCTAGGAGTCCTAAGTAGGGTGATAAATATTATTGTCTGATAAACAGATGCCTCTTCATCTAATCATATTCTCCAACCTTCTAATGGTTTCAGTACAACTGAGATTGCTACACATGGAAAGCTAAAGTCCTTTCTCCATTTTCACTTAATTTCACTCTGCTGACCCAGCTGCTCATTTACTGAAAAAGCCTTGTTTTAGACAAGGTTCAGCAATCATAAAACCCTCTCAATACTGAAGCCAATGAAACAGATGCTCAGAGTTTTCACTGTACTTTTTAAAAACATTTCATTATCAGAACCAAGGACCATACAATGTGATGTTGCAGATCACTGGTTGTCTCAGCATCACCTATTGCAATCTCCAATCTAAAACAGTATTATGACATATTCAACTATAGTGTATTATACTAAGCTAGGAAATTTGTCCCTGAATCTTCAAAAGGTAGTTAAAACAGCTAGCTGTTGTTCACATTTTTGCCACAAGTGTAATACAGCTAAAAGTGATATTAACATATCATTACTATCATATAATAAATATAATCCTTTGTAAAAACAAACAGATGCCAGACATTACCTTCACAGGTACAGCCCTGTCTTATTAACCCAACCATCAATGATGTGCACTGATTGCATTTGGTAGGGGTATTAAAGGATTTTACTACAAACTGATGGGCCTTAGGCTGTAAAACAAATAGAAATATGATTAGATGATAAGCGCTTTTATAATAAAAAATCATTGTTAAATTGTTGCATATTACATAAATAGTTTAGTTTTGTTGCACTAATAAATTTAGAGTTTATTTTCCAGTTTCATAATTTCCAAGCTATTCTTATATCATATACTTGTTTAATCAGAATCAGTTCTATTCAGAAAACAGAACCATCATTTTCTATGGTTAGGTATGCAACTTTACAATAATTTTATATCTTAAGTATTTTATAGAAACAGCCTAAAAAAATTAAATAAATGTTCAAAATCAGTGGATCACTATCCAAAAAAGGAACAGGTAAAAAAGTTAACTTGTGTTTTAAATTTCTTTTTTTCATAGCAAAATAGATTAATATGTAATGGACCAGAAAACTCATTGTCAGAACATTTATTATTAAACTATGCAGAAACAAATGTGGGGGTTTTACTTTAGCTTTCAAGACCATTAGATGATCAGTAAAGCATTTTGCTCCTTGTAATGTTGACCAAATAGAGAATAATTACTTCATTTCTGTAATGAAGTAGAAATCATGGGCATATGATAAAAGACTATATAATCTGTTTCCTTTTGTTACACTTAGTCCATCACACAGCAAATCTTCAAATTTAGCATAAGGAAATAAATGTTGTCTAAGCTACATTTGACCTTTTTAAATAGTTGAACACTCATAACATATAGAATTGTTTCTTCCAAAGTAGGTTTAGTTCTTACTGATACTAACAACAGCATCCTTATTCATAAGTAAATGATAGAGGATCAACAAAGTAGAATCCTTGACTTATAACTTGTCACTTAATGAAAGTTCAAAATTATGACTGACTTGAAAAAGTTATGTCCTCAAAGTTATGACTGTCATACCGCCTCCAAGGTCATAGAGTCATATTTTGAGTGCTTGGCAACTGGTTTGCTTTTATAACCAGTTGCAGCATCCTATGTGTCACAAGTTCATATTTTACAATAGTTTTTGCTATTTTCCGGCAAAACATTCCATTGGATAAGATGTATTTGGAATTACAACCACACAATTCGCTTAATGACACATGATTTACTTAACTACTGTGCTGATTTGCTTAATGACTGTCATAAAAATGGTCAAACATCAATTCCAGTCATGTCGATTCAACTTACGACCGTAATGATTTATTCCAATATTCCAAGCTCAGCTGTGGTCATCAGTGAAAGACTACCTGTATAAGAATAGGCTAAGATTTTAGCATAGCTTCTAATCATAATATTTGATTGAATACCTTTGGCACAGAGAGTCCTGAACCACTATATGGTGATCTCATGGTTGGTGTGTGAACTGGACGCAGAGGATGATCTGAAACCTGAGCACATATATGGTGAATATTAATTTATATTAATATTAACCACCCCACACTCCCACTTTTAAATGATGTTAATATAAGCAAACTGGTGCAAAAAATATGCAAGAATTTGAAATACGCATCTAGCATTTTTTTAAAAAAAGCATTTACTTTGGGTAACATATTCAGATTTTCCTCACTTAAGCAACATACTTAAATGCTTTACAGCCTTTAACAAAACTAAACTGACTGCAAAGTAAATGTACTTTAAGAAATTGGTTTACTGAAAAAGCTTCAAATATAGTCACATAAATACACAACTATTTGGTAATAATTATTATATTATTCATATACTTTTCAAAAATATACAACTCAAGGTGATGAACTCCTTCCTCCTCCTATTTTCCCCACAATAACTATCCTGTGAGATGAATTGGGCTGAGAAGGAGTGACTGGCCCAAAGTTACCCAACGTTTTTTCATGCCTAAGGCAGGACTAAAGTCCACAGTTTCCTGGTTTCTGGCCCCGCACCTTAACTACCACTGCAAACTGACTCTCTATGGAGGGAAAAATGGCATAAAGCATTCACATAGTGACTCTGAGGATTATTCTTTTGGATGTGCATATAATAAAAAATGTTTTGTTAATCAAACAGCACTTGCCCTGGGGCTGCCAGCAAAGCAACGCAGCTGTCCATGCAACATGCATGAGGAGACCCAATAAAGCTTTTCAGGCATTCATGCTGACCATTCCAACCATACAGTTGTTTTAGTTTTTCGAGAAGAGATGTTTCATTTGTAGCAGTACGCACCATGAAGCAATTTTTCCAACATTTGAACAGTTTTGTTAATTATCTAACACACACACTTAGTTTAACTGTCTTCATTAAGCTGATGTTTGGCTTACTACCTCCGTACCAATCCTGAATCATACATCAACTAGTTCAGGCAGTTATTAAAGAAAGGCATTTATATAATAGAACTGTGTAATAAATGTTCTTATAAGTGTAGCCAAGGAGTTTAATAAAATGATATAGGTCAGTAGCATGTTCCAGTAACAAATTGGTAACACTTCACTTTTATTTTATTAAATAAAAATATTGTCAAAGGAACACAAACTTTTCTGAAGCACTATCATTGTTATAAACTGCTTAATTTATCATGATGAAAAAATGTGTATTAAGTAATTAAAATATTAAAATACAATATAGTATAGTACATATAATGTAATATAATATATACAATGAAATAAATACGCTTGAGTATCTGTTGACAAGCTCATGGTCAATATTAATGTGCCATGATAAATAGTTACATTCTTTTTAACTGCCCTTCTATTTACAGGCAATTGTGACAGCATATGGTTACCAGGTTATTTATGTAAAATCATAAATCAGAATGATCTTGAATTTATGATTCATATTACAATGGATATTGTTTTTAATTTTTGAATATTGACTTGACAAATAGTGTTCTGAAGACTTGAATATGCAGCACTAATCTAGTTAATAAAACTAATAAAAGTTTCATCTTTATTTAATCTTGCATGTAATTTTTTTCTATTTTTATTTTTCTTACTTTTATTGCTTTTTGATTCTATTCTTTTTAAATATTTACTAAAATAAATAAATAGGAAAGAAACCAGCTATATAGCATGGTTTGTATACAAATGGGAGATGGCTATAAATGGACAATAACCTCAGGAACTGTAGCATAGAATAGCTAAATAGTTTAACATTGCAAACCCTGTCAACTGTGAAACAACAATTTTAAAAACAACGATTCATATTAAAGTAAAGGCAATCATGCATGTAATTGCAGTATAAAGATATAAGAAGTATTCCAGTTTTGAATACTTTGGTGACATTTGAAAATCAAACCATGCAAGAAAGAAAGAGTATTTAATGTGACGTGTGGACTATGAAATTAGGTTTCTGTGAAAAGTCCAAGAAATATTCTGAAGATCAGTGCTTCCATCCAAAAAGTAACAAAACAATCCTACATCAGGAGACAACTATATGGTGCTTCTAGCAAGCTAAGGAAGTAAATTATTATTTTAATTAGAATTGTGGATGTATATTCTACCATTTATGCCATATCATAAACTATTTTTGAAATGGTTGTCATTTTCACAAAAACAATTGCTCCACAGTGAAGGTGTTAGCATATATTTAAGAATATAGAAGTTAGAAGTGATAGAAGTTAGCTTCTATCACATCACAGAAGATGACACCGAATCCCAGAAGGAATTTCCCAAGGAACATTACAAAGCTATGGTAAATTCCTTGGCAAAAAACTAATGGAATTAGCAGCTTGCTGAAGAATAATAAAAGAAATACAGTATTGTTTCACTCAAGATGTTAAGTAATATCTGAAAGTAACAGCAACAATGTACTATATTATTTTGTCCCTGTATTTGCTTTCTGTATGGGCAATTTGCTTTCTATAATGGACAATATAACTACATGTTAGAAAGTATGTGTATGTGAATAGTTTTATCTTGTTCCCATACTGCAAGGGATAATTTACATATGATTTTATATATTTATTTATTACTTCTATGTCTCACTTTTCTGTTTGTACAGTACTATTTAAAGTATGTTACTGGGTGTGAGTTTGTGTGTGTGTGTGTGTGTGTGTGTTTGTAGATTTTCACGGGTGTAGGTATGCTGGTCTTGTTGTATTCGGGTCTTTTCCCATGTAAGATTGAAATTGTCTTGGCAACATTTCAGTGAAGTCTCACTCGCCATTTTCAGGCTGGGTTTTGGACTTAAAGTGTGATCGGAGCTGCCCCCAAGACCCATACATATATATGTATGTAAAATACCTCTCTCATATGAACTAGTGCTCGGACATAGAAGTGTTTTCAGGAACCAATGGATTCTATTAATATAAGTATTCAGATGCAAAGCAAACAGCAAAACACTGTTATATCTATCTTTGGCTATCTGTTTTCCATATGAAACAGAAATAAATCTTCCAAAACACAGCATGTTTATGTGTTTGACTGACTTGAAAAACTTGTAAAATCATTGGAATAATCTTCTTTTAATAGATATGCTATGTAAAGATTTTAGGCCTCTGTTTACCTAGTATGCTTATAGGCTTATTGGGTTAATCAGATGTCATGTGAACAACTATGGTAAATCTAGTTAAATGTCCAAACCAATTAATCCTCAGGCTAATTTCCATAATCAGCTAACTTTCCACATGGTATCTAAATTACTTACCCGAATGTGTTTTTTGATTTCCATGATCATTATGAAATCCTAGAAAAGCTATAAAAAAATTAACAATCTCTGGGCATTATAATTTTAACTCTTTTTCTGGCTACATGAAGGAGTGTGCAAAAAAGGCAGAAACAGATGAGAGCGGGTAAGTTCTCTGCTTCTCCATAATGGCCATAGATTGTTCTCTATATGCTTATTGGAAAAAAAATCATAAAGTAAAACAATGGCTTTAAATTTTCTTTGCTCTACAGGAGTCACTGGCCAAAATATTCTAACTCATGAATTATAAGTGATAGAAATGGCAAGCTTTCTTCTGAGGTTCTGGAAAACTCTTGAGATCTGGGTTTTGGTCCGAGACCTGAGCTTAATGCCCATTATTAATGCCCATATTATGATGTTGTTATTCTGTGGTTTCTTATTATTATTATTATTTAGTGCAGGAAATATGCATTTATGTTTTAAACTGTTTTGGGAGTTTTTCTTTTTTCTTTTTGTAAGTCACCCACAATCTGCGGGACTGTATGGCCATAACAAATAAATAATAATAATAAGTAACCAATCATTATTTTAATAATATCCATTGGGATGAGTTAAGTCACCAGGATAAAATGTTATGGTCACCATATTATGAATATATAACCTTTATTTGTTAATATAATTCCCACTTAATTCAACTGAGCTTACTCCGCAGTACATTTGCACAGTTGTTTTGACACTGAGCTATGGGACCGACAATTCTAAAAGAAATGTTCTAAGAGAGAGTACCTCAATTGGTTCAATGTCACTAGCTGTGGAAGGGGACCTAGATCCTGAATGAAGATGATACTTGATATCTTCATCCCGCGAAGGCGTATTAGATAAGGTAAAATTTTCAACAGAATCAATCTAGAGAAACAACCAAAGGAAAGAAAGAAGCAAAAGAAAAGAAATGGAAAATGAAAGGAAAAGGAAAAAAAGGGGGAAAGTATATTAAGAAGCCACATTCGATAAGTACCAGTTTTCAAAAATATAGAAATGCAAATAACATAAATGTAGAGTCTCTTTTAATAAAGTTTGGCTCCTGATTTACAGAGATTGGAGGAAACAATATAGAATCATTTACCATTCTCTTTTTCAAAAATTTTCCACACATTGCAATCTACTCTACAAACTTGAGATTTCCTAGTGATCTATCATGCAAATATTATGTTGAGTAGATGCCTCCACTTGCTGTGACACAGAAATGTAGATGAATTACACTACAATATTTTTTAAAGAAGGAAGGTAATCATTATTAGTTTATCCCACCTTTTATTATATATAAATATTTGGTCAACTTAAGGTGGTGAACATAGCTATAGTTTGGAAAATTTGAATACCTGTGATATCGATATCAGCACAACAACAATTCCTCTTATATTGCATTGATGTAAAGCTCAATGCAATCTACTCTCATTTATTTCTCAACAGTTATAATGAAGTCAATTTATGTAAAATTAAATCTATTGCTACATTTGTTGGCCTCTGGTGTACAGCAATTATAAGAAATAAGGTTGATAGATTTTGATTTGTTGGGAAATAATGAAACATCTGGAAGAAAACAACTACCAAGTACTCCATATATTTTGATTGATTTATAATCTGAAACACCATTTTAGAAGCTACTTTTGTATAGTAATTGTAATTTAATATAATAAAACATATTAGAAAGATTATTAATAAATAGTCACAATACTTGGCAGTATCATGATACTAATTAATTAGTAAATAAATCATTTTAAATATAGTTTAATAAAATGATCTTAGCCCACACTTATCAATATAAAATAACACTGATCAGGTTTGTTCTAATAAAGGATAAATTTCTAAAGATGACAGTGACATCTTAAATGTATTTTTATAAGTATGTAAAGTAACATTCAAATCATAGATACAAATTTTCTTTTGTTTCTTTTAACAGAAACAAGCAGAATGCTGTACAGAACATATTTTCATTATTTTCCTACAGTGCCAAAACATTGTAGCTTTGGTTTAATTAAAATATCTTTTAAGAAAAAATAATATTTTTGGAAGATTTCTGTTTGGTTTAATTGTTGGTTTCCAGCTAGCTAACCTCCCTTTCCCTCCCTCTAGTTTAGTGTCATTATTTATGATTCTGTTTTTCAACATAAAATAGTCAAGTAATGTATTTTGTTTTAAACCTACATTATCTATGCATTTTATTTTGTACTGAATAGGATTCATACAAATCATATTGTAAAAAGCAGGCTACTTTTAAGTTTAAGAAAAATTTTAGAGCATGATTTGTTGTTCTGAAAACACAAAAAGAGCAGACAAAACATATCTAAGAATCTTCCTTATGCATGTACATATAAATCTTTGTGTACATTTGAATGTGTAGGTATATGCATATTTGTGTGTGTGCCACCTGAATAAACCATAAGTAGAGAACAAATGAATGATTAATTTGTGTTCTTTTATTTTGTTGAACATAATGCTTGACTTCTCACTTATTTATTGCAAGTCCTAGCATAAACCAAACAGTAACTGAAATTCAGAATGCAGCTCAGCACTTCTTTTAAAATATAGACATAGCATTATTTAACTGACATATTTATTTATAAAATGTTCATATCATTTCAACTTGCAGAGAATATAATCAATGATACAGGATCATCAATATTATTATTTGCTACTTGCATATAAACTATTTCAAGTACTGCAGCAATTATTTGAAGAAATTCTTTTCTATACTTTGATTCCACCATTATTAAATATAAAATTATATCTCTCTGAACATCAGGGAGAACTTTATTTTCCTTATTGAAAACCTCACTAGGGAGCAATAATCTTTTCCATCTGTCCTGGGTATTATATCAGACAAAGAATGTAGGAAATAAAATATTATGTGACACACACCGAGGAGCAGAGGTAACACCTCCTTTTTGCTATTTTTATTTCTTCCATTATAAAAAAACCCAAACCAGAAGGGAAATAGAAATGACTAGAATACATAGTCTGTCATGTAAGTTAATTGCAAACTGCTGTTCTTAGCACAGGTAAAGGTGGGTTTTAGGAAAGTCTGTTAGACAAGATCTAGTCTGAAACACATACTCCATCTTTCCATGATATAGATGATTAGTATAACTCAGTCTGAGAACACAGAATACTAGTGCTTGCTCAATATGGGACACAGCACAAGGATGTCTGTGTATGTCCGTGTATGCAGCTAACTTATAGCATATATTTGAAAGTGTTTGTTGCGGTGGGAAAAATATTAGGTATGTTTGCTAGTTGAACCACAAAGCATGATAGCTTAAACAAAGCAACCTTCCTTGAAACATTAAAGCAACCATGTCCTTTAGAGACCTTGGTGAGACTTCTTTAAGGAATGTCAGTTGTATGCAAGCACAGCCAGTATTAAAAACAGGACCCACCACCAAGATGAAGTGGTTGTGCATGCATAGATAAGAATAGAGAACAAAGCTAGCCTTCAAGGTAGCTGTGCAAGCCTTCTAAAATACTTTCTGTGGATTTTTTATATTATGAGGTTATTTTGTTTGCATTAGCATGTTTTGCAACAAGAATACTAATACACACATGCAGTTAAACACAGACACATCTCTGAATGCTTAGAAACTAATTTGCAGATTGTTCTCCCCCCCTTTTTCTCTCTCTCTGTGTGTGTGTGTGTGTGTGTGAGAGAGAGTGAGACAGAGAGAGAGAGGGAGAGAGGGAGGGTGGGAAGGATGAAGAGGGGGAAGAGGAGAGGGAGGAGAAGAGGGAATATTCAGTGCATTAGACTAAGCATACATTGCCAAACCAATAACCATACTATAAAACATACTATAAAATGTTCTCAGACTGATAATACTAATCACATTAAACAAATGGGTTCTTGTCAAGACTTTGGTATTCTTTTTAATGTCAACCAAACTAACTTGACAGAATTGATAATCCTGCTCATAATGTAATGAAGACATGGATTAGGAAGGCAAATTTCTGTTTTGCTAAATCTTTGTACTCTAATAAGTTTAAGATTGAAGCATAGCATTGTAATTGTATATGAAACATATTTATGTCATTTGTAAAAAAAATCTGTAAAACCCATTATTTAAAAATTGCTCCCCGTCATCTTAACAAACAGGTGGATTTTACACTAATTTTGCTTTGTTTTTGGGACATCCTAAAGCCAAGAGCATAAAACAGAATAAAACCACACACACATTCTCAAAGCTTTGCACTTAATAAACAGTATTAAACAGAAGGAAAATATAAGAAAAGCAGTAGCACAAGACAAGCAGCAAGGTAAATATGCAAGCCATAAAAATATCAAGGAAAATGGTCTACATTGAACGAAGGCAAAGCCATGTCCATGATATGACAAACTAAAAGCCAACACACAACAAGACATCCTCTTACACGTCTGCCTTTGTGGGCTGGAATACAGGAGGGAGAGCGCTTTAACAGAGAAAGGAGGAGACGGTTAACAAGGGAAAGATACATTCCTTCAATCCACATTTCTATACAGAGCTTGGTATCATTTTGCATAGTAAAGACAAGGATTCGTGTATCATGATAACATAAATCAGAAGAAACATAAAGACACAAGAAACAACTACTTTCAAACATCATTTTTAAAACATCATGTGTCTAAAAATATATATATTTTAGATAAAATAATTTCTTATTAAATGCTCTTCTGCTTTTTAAAAAAATGCAAATATTATCAGGAATACAAGTCAATCATTACTGCATTGGAATTGCAGCAGACTTTCCATGCTGCACCCTACGATGAATGTCTGTTCACAGCTGCCAGTGGAGATTTCTCAAAAGAAAATGGCAACTTCTTTAAGGACTTCAATGGTGGGAATTTTTTTTCTTTTTTGTCTACTACAGTCTCAGTCATATGTCTTCGGAAATTCTTACTCATGGTTTCCCCAAAGGTGCTTTTTCAAAGGGCAACTGGACGTTCTGGGCTTCTTCAGCTCTGAGTGGATGATGGGAAGATGGTGGGGGGATGGTCAGAGCTAAAGAAGCTTCTTGGATGAAAAGCAAAATGCCTTCAAAGAAAAACTAGAAAGTCCAGTTGTCTCTTGAAAAAGCATCTTTGGGAGTCTGAATCATAATTTCTTATCTTTGCTAATACTACTTTACACTTAAAAAAATTAAATGCAGCAATTCATTCTGAGTCACATTAGATCTTAAAGTTTTATTAAGAGTGCAAGAAACAATGTGTGTTTATTATCTAGTTTTTCAGAGCTTATGTAAGGTAATATGTTTATACAGAATTGTTATTATTAGCCTTTTAATAAAGGTGATACAGGTAGTCCTCAAGTTATGATTACATTTTGGAACAGAATTTCCACTGCTAAGCAAGGAGGTTGTTGCCTGATTTTACTTTTTTTGCCATGTTTGTTAAGTGATTCATGCAATTACGGTATTAAATGAATAATATGGCCATTAAATTAACCTGGCTTTCAATATTAACTATGTTTGTCAGAAAGTGGCTGGCCAGGTTGCAAAATGGCAATCATTTGACTCTGCAACAATCATAAATACATGTCAAGTGCCCCTTATCAGTGCCATTGTAACTTCAAACGGTCCCTAAATAAATGGTTGTAAGTTGAAGACTACCTGTATTAGCATTTTGGCATGCCATCCGTGTCTCTTTTTGAAGTTTAAGAAACCATGTTATTTCTTTAAGCCAAAGCAATTTCCTTTGATGTGCAAAAAACCCCATTCTGAAGTCACTGAGGTGTTACAAGTATTGAAGAAACAAAACAGGTGCGGAAGAAGCCATATTTTAAGGGGATCAGTCCTTTTTTACATCTTATCAATGGTTTTATTGTTTAATTTGTTGCTTTCTGATGCATCACATATATTGAATGTATGTACCATTTGTTTCTAAACCTTATATAAAGATTTGATACCTCTGCCTTAATAAAACAGGTGTTTTTTTTGCTTTGCCTGAAGAACTGCAGTTTTGGAAGGGAGGGAGGTGGGCAGGCAGGCAGGCAGGCAAAAAAGCCACTTTGCAAAGGTGTTGGGTGTTTTTCTGTCACAATCAGGAAACAGGTTCTTTCAAGCTCCATGCCAGTTCTGGTACCTGGACAATATAGTTTTATAGGCAACATAACCATGAATCTCAATAAACCTGGAAGCTCTAAATAGTCATTCAACTCTGACTGTGGTAAACAAATAAGAAATCTTTAGAGCAGGATTGAAGCCATATAACAGCATTTTATCACAAGTATTTTGACTTGCTAAGCAATCAACAATGTCCAGGTGATCAGTAAAACTTGGCAATTTAGTCCTCTTCTGTGGACAACAACACATAAATAATAAACTACACTAAGTTGTAGGACACAGTTTGCTTAGACTCAATTTAGCTACTGAGGATGTTTAGTTTGACAAGGCTATTTCCATCTTACAGAAATGTGGGAGACATGATCTAATATTATAGGAAATTATTTTAAAAACAGAAGATAAGAGCTGTCAGTATTCAAATTTGTTAGGCATGTTGGGACTTCTAATGCTATAGACAAGAGAATATTAAAACAATTCTCTCTTATTGTCTTTCACAAGACCCTCGAGTTAGGTAAAAAATTCAAGGGAGCATAAGGATCTCAGTAAGTCTTAGATCCTTTCTGCTTCTTTCTTCCATTTTTACTTGCCTAAATAGGGAAGAAAGATGGCTGGTATATTAAGGGTGCAGAACTTCTTCCAATTACTGACCCAAAAGCTTAGAAGGAAAGGCAACAATGTTCTACAAGAAAATCTGACAATTTAACATAAACATTTAACATTTCCATAGACTAATGATTTTAAAAAACCAAAATATATCTTATTTTTGTTCCAGTATTGCTTTGCTTTTGATAAGCAGGCTAAGTAGTGTTTAAAGTGGGAATGAGACCCAAGTTCAATTTCTATTCAGCAATGTGATTCATTGAGTGGCATTAGATCACTTTCAAGCTTTCAGACTAAATATTACACAAAGATCACAGTAGTTTATAAACATGACTACATGACTAAGAATAAATATATTAATCAGAGCTATTCTCAATTAAAGACACTGGACTATTTGAAAAAAGATGCTTGTAGGTTATGATGTTAGTTTTGTAATCTGAATACTTTGACGAATGTGCTCATAAATTTTTAAACCCATATTTATATACCACAAAAGCTATTTTAAATCTGGAGTACATAGAAATTGCTTCTTTTGTGGTAAGCTGTTGCTGCAAACTGAAGGCTAGCATTACTATTATTACACAAAGCCATTGATTTATTCATACAAAGCGCCTAAAACCTATTTATTACTTCTTAAGGATGCATACTATTTTCAACTGAAATCTACCTATTTTAGAATTAAAGGTTTTCAGAAGCATTAATATGAAAGAACCTAATCATAATTCAGTGAATTCTATCAGAAATTTGTCTTTTTCAAACCAATCCTACAGTCTCCTGAAAACCTGGATTGTATGACCTTTGTTTTGAGAATGTGATAGCGTATTTGTTAAATTATTTTGAATATAGAACTATTGGGATATTTTCTGCATGATGCAGAAATTGTAATCCAAGCTCAAAAATGGTGAACAGTATCCTCCAGTGTCTTTACAGTGAGGACTGTCATATTGAAAAATGTTACTGTAAATAGGAACACTACAGCACTAAATTTTGTATTTATCTACAATACAACTGACATAATTATTCTACATATATTTGATAAAAAAATTGTCACTGCTGTATGAGTTTAAACTGACCAGGAAAAAAAAAATCTTAAGAAAGTGACATGCATGTGAATGAAACATATATTCACACTCATCCTAAGCTAAAGTAAAAGCAGAATTGTAGAAGCCAATTTTAATGGTATAGTTTTGACCAAGCAATGTCAATAACAGGCCAGAATGAGTGTGAAACAAGTCATGTCTTGTATCTCAGTTCCTTCAAATAGCAAATGAAAAGACACATATGCAAAAACCTTTAGCCCATGCCATGAAAACTTATACTGAAAACTATACAGCACGGACACATCAGGAGCACAGAACCTGCTGAATTTCATGCTCTTGATGGTTTAAGATGACTGCATTACCATCTGAAATTGCCAAATCAAATCTGTTTTATTACTGAATAATTTGTGGATTTGGAGATGAAAGACTTACGTCATCCATAAAATCAATCAATGAAGAAGAAGATGAAGAAGAAAAGGAATCCTATTTTAATGCATACAGCAGTAAAGAAACAGAAATAGATAGATGAAAATGTCTGTTTTGTGAAAACAACTACATCACCATACTATTGAGAAATCAAATAAAGAAAAACTGGAAATGATTGATTATTTTGTTTAGCATAACTTCTGCATAGTTTTGTTAACTAACTGTAATCCACAAATAATGATTATTCTTTCACCCACACTAAAAACAGACCAAGGGACCATATATTTACCAGATAACAAAATAATCATTATAGGTAGTCCTCAACTTACAATCACAACTGGGGGCCTGGAAATCTGCTTGTAAGTCATGGCAGTCAGATGACTGGACCCATAGTTTTGCCATTTTTGTGATGGTCATTAAGTGAATTACTGTGGTCGTTAAGTGAACTGCAGTTTTTGCAGTTGACAAAGTCAAGGTGGATGCCAAGTGCCTCAAATACAATCATATAACTATGAAGGCCCATGATATTTTATGACAGCTGGAAGTGCTTTACAGGTTGTAAAGCATCTGTTCCAAGACCATCATAACTCTGAATAATCCTTAAATCACCTGTTGTAAATTGAGGATTACCTGTAATTGGAATGTAAAAGTTATTGTCATGATTTTGTCATAGCTTGTTTTAATATTGAAACAAATGACTGCCAAATAGTAAATATATTGATAGATAGGCTACATTTAATTGGAAATACATGAGTATCAACTTGCATCATCAGTGAATTCTTGCTTCTAAGTATCGTTTCCTTAGGCTTCACCTTCTTACCCATCATCATCTTCCTCCTCCTTGAAGGCTACAATCCATCTCTGTCCTAGTTCTATAATATACGACTCTTTATATTCTCTACTTCAGAAATATTTAATAACTTTGTTATATTATGTCCATGAATGAAACTGTATCCAGAGATAAATAAGGATGGTTGCTGCTAGGTGGAAAAGGGCACCTCAGGGTGCACAATGGCCTGGTGTGGCTCAAGCACCACAAGGCTCCAGTTGGCTACTGTCAGATGTGGGGACTTATCCAAACAACTTGTGACCTTCCATGTCAGCTTCCCTATTGACTTTGCTTGTGGGAAACTGCAGGGGAGGTCACAAATGAGGATCAGGTGACCATGGAACGTTGTAACTGTCATGAGTGTAAGTCACTTGCCAAGTGTCCATTGCATACTACTCATTCAGCGTCACTCACTGAAAGAGTGGTTGTTAGCTGAGGACTAATTTTAGTTCTGAAAATATTACAGATGCTTCATTTTAGGGTTAAGTTTCAAGACTTTAAAAAATGGTAAAAAAAGAAAGTTCTTCTGTCATAATATTTGAAATACAGCTTAGGTTGGCTCATAGGAAGTCTGCATTAAAAGCACCATACAAATATTTTAAACATTTTCCTTTTTACAACTAGAAAATGACAAAAGAAGTAAATAATATTCCTTATGAATCAAAATATATTTTGCAACATAATAACTGCAGTTATGATTTCAGAACAGTAGTGACCATAAATTTCATTCTTTTGTAACATCAAATATTAAAAAATAAATCAAATTACTTACTTCAAACTGATCCAGAGCAGAGGTAGGTGCATTCAAAAATGCCAAGAAAGAATTTTGTGAGTCTTGATGCTTCACTCCTAGAAAACAACAGCATGATTTTAATTAACAGAAAACAATCATACAGATATTGATCTACCTATTGCTGTTCTTAAGTTGTTGCTTTCTGCTTAAGATCAGATTGTACCCAAAAGATTTTTTAAAAATTCTTATTCCCAGTTGCTGAATTTTGATACCAATTGTTACATAAGATCTTCCCAATTAAAACATGAGAAACTGGACTTATAATTTTACGTCATAATTGATTTTACTGTATGTCATCCAGAGTCCTTCTTTGAGGGAGATGGGCAGTTCAGAAATGTGATAAACAAACAAACAAATAAATAAATGCATAAATACATAAATAGCACAAAGCCATGATTTAAGGCAATTTTTCCTTTCAGTTTTTACTGAGAAATTCCCTGTTCCCCAGTCTTTATAAGTTCCATTAGTGTGTTCCCTCATGCCCAGTGTTCAAAATAGAAAGGAAAGAGATTAAAAAACTTGCTGATGAAAAAATGAGTCTCTATTAAAAATTCAGCAAAAATCCTGCTATTATTCAATATAACCCAGATCTTGTTTGAGATTGGAAACTAAACAAGGACATGCCTGATTAGCATTTGAATAGCACACTATCAGGGAATCTCTAAACTACAGATTAGATTGAGAGTTAGAAAATTATCTACTGTATTGAAGGAAATGAGAGAGACTGTTGAATTATTATTTTCTGTTTAAAACTAATCTGATTCTTCTTGCAGCAACAGGAACTTAATCCCAAAGCATTTATTCTGCCCCAATGAGATTTTTTTTAAGCAAATTAGCTTCCATGATTTTTTTCCCTGGTTGATACAACTAAAACAGTCAAGTATTTGCATATGATAAATGTGTCCAACAAGATACACATTAGTATGAGATTAGTAAGCCTCATAAACCATCTGGTGTCACCAACTTGAGTTCGTGGCTACCAGTTCTGGGCTTCACAAATCTGGAAGACTACTTGATAGCAGCAACTCCAATTTTGGTGGCTCACATTTGGCAACTTTACACCCAGCATTCAACATAGAAAGTTCAAGGCAAACTTGACATTTGACTCTTTCATGTAGAACAAGCATCCTATAGCATCCTAGCATCCTAACTCTAACCAAATAAAATCACCCTGATGTATAGAAGAACAGCAAGCATGCTTTTAGTAATGCTGAAATATTAATGTAAAAAAGTTTGTGCTGTAAGGCAATTGTTTAATGTGTTTTGGTGGGGGAGGGGTGTCTCCTGGTTTTAATTACGAAGTAAGATTTGGCATATAAATCTTATACCAAATCAAGTATAAAATAATAAGAAGATGGAATTAGGCATCAAAAGGAATATTTTTCATGTTTAAATTAGCGATGTTAAAAACAGGTGTTATTTATTAAAATACATGAGCTGAAGAATTGACTTTCCTACACATCTGACTTACAAATGTGGAATTCTACGATTGTTCTAAAATTGTATGTAGAGCTGGCTAAATATACCTACTTAATAAGAAAAGAATCTGAAAAATAAGAATCTGAATAAATGTCAGAAAATTATTCTGATTTTTTTACATGTATTTTACTTACAATTGTTAAATTATTGGAAATCAGAAATAAATGCTAATCTGTTTCTATCTGCCTCCCATCTAATGGAGGGCCAGGTTCAGGAGATAGAGAGAAACACTGCATGGATTAAAATGAAGCAGTGAATAGTATATGCAAAAGAGAAATTAAAATTCAACTGCATATGGCTCTGAACTAAAACTCTTTGATATAAGATTCTTTGAATGCAAGCATATAGATCTCTGAAAAAACTACTACTATAAACAGGGATATGTACATTGTTTTGCAATAAGCAAACAAACCAGTAGCATCTGTTTTGTTCAGCAATGATTACACAATACAAAAAAAACAACAACAACTGAATCCATCCTCAGTAGGCATCCTATCTTTTGCATTTGGTCCTGAGATCTACTCTTTCACCTTGAAAGGCAAGGTGCTAATATAACACTATATTACTTTTAAATCTTCATCCCTGATGCTATATTGCTCCTGAATTGTTATGGATGAATTTGTTTTACAGTAGAATCATTTGAATAAGGTACACTTCAAGTGTCCATTCACAAACTGAAATGTATGATTTTTATAAACAGATATAGGTTCTATCACAGTTAGAGGTCCATTTCTAGGCCTTTTCATATTCTACGATACTGCTCTATAGTTACTTTCTTAGCTGTTTCTTCCCAAGAGATATCGGATGAAGAAAATACTGGTGTGTGTGTGCGTGTGTGCATGTGAAGTTCTCTTCCTTAGAATAAATAGTAAAATCAACCAACATTTTCAATTATATTAATGCAAATCATCAATAGATTAAACTTCCTATAAAAGGTTTACTTTAGAAAACTCATAAGTCTTAATTGAACACATGGATTCTAGCTTATAATGATCAAAGACTATGCATTTTATATGTTTTTTCTATCCTATATACCTGATGTTTGAGTAGTACTTGACAACTGAAGAATAAATTAAGAATCACCTTCTCGTAAGGAGATAAAACTATCATGTTCCTAATACAATGACTATAAATGCACAAACAAAAACACGATCTGAAAAAAATGTATTTCAAGTATGCCAAGAGTACATAAGATAATTTTAATTTTGTAACAGCTGTGTGGGTACATCTTATCATGTCAGGGCTATGATGACACTTCAAGAGTCAGAATCTTCAAAATACAGATTCTGTCAACACTCCGTAAGTGGACATTCTGATTTGATAAGATGTACCCGCCACCAGTCAGCTTTATTTGGATGTCAGTTCCCATACCCTTTTCTGACTGAAGTTCTTCTGCCTCTTTTTTCAATCTGTCTATTTCTGATAACAGCTCGGAGTTCTTCTTTTCAGATTCCTGCAATTTGCTTTACACGAACAAAACACAAAGAGAGACACCCAGTTAGTAAGGATCATGATGTGGTTATATTTGAAAGTTGATTGCAGTGTCCTTCAATTAGGAAAAGCCCACTTAAATCTCAGTATTAAACAAAAGATAACATAAAAATGGACAAAAGCTTTTGATTTCAATAAGTAAGCTTGAAAGGGAAAATAATGACTTCTGTTTGATTCATGATTTTGTTTTATAAGCACCCAATGGAACAATATGATTTTATGTTTAGTTTAACATTATCGATTTGGATTGTGATAGTTCCAAGATAATTCCTAACAAACAGGCAGAATAGAGGGAAGACATATACGCTGTGAATGATTATAGTATGATTGCCATAATGCAAACCTCCAGTTGTCCAGATGTCTAGGCTCTAACCCACCAACTGACCCTAGCAATTTTTTTCCTTTGCACTTTTATATGAAATACAAAGTGGCAAAAACGGACACTTTTATGTTCTAAGGATATCTTTGGGTCCCCAGAACCATATTTGTAAATTATTAATCTTATTAATAAAAAAGCACATGGCTGGCAACCTTGCAAAAGCCAAGGTGGTACACTGGTATCAAAGTCATTATATGCCTGCCAGTGGGGGGCACAAGATCAAAAGACAAAAATGTGACTTATGTGTTTTTGTTTTGTCAGGACACATATACAAAAGACTGGGATTTGAATTATTACACTGTAAAGTAAGTTTTGTCTTTTTTTCTAATTATGGGATTGTACTGGATACTTATATACCTATTCTTGAACATTACTTTAACATTTTTAACATATATAGATATCATTCTAATGAATTGAGATTTTCAACTATGTTCTATATAATGATTTACTCTATGCAGAAATTTTTCATCGTATAAAACAGTATTATATGCATTACAACATAAAAGAATATTTATTTTAGCATGATTTATTGTGGAAAAACCTATGTAGAACACTTATCACTATAACTGCTTTCTAATACAGCTAATATTTATTTTGTTTTTAATGGCAGGGGTTCATTGGGTTTTGCATGTGGTATTTTACTTCTGTAAGTCCCTGAAATATCACTGTGTTGGATGGCTATATAATTTTCTTAATAAATAAATAAATGGATGAATAGAAGGAAGGAAGGAAGGAAGGAAGGAAGGAAGGAAGGAAGGAAGGAAGGAAGGAAGGAAGGGGAAAGATTTTATATTGTTTCCTAGTAACTACTTCTAAACAGAATCCTAAATAAAGAATTTCCTAATTCAGTACAAGAGACAGAAAAACCACAGTTGGAAAGAAATTCTTAGAATTTGTCAGGTATTCTAATAGGATGTCAAAGGAATATTATATGTTAATCTTATTAAGGTTGTAAAAGATGACAGGCATTTATTTTCAGCTGAAGTCTTTCAATTGTTTTCAGGAAACAACTTTCAAACAAACTTCAAATTATACACAGAAAATTGGGGTTTTTATGGCAGGCCATCAAACTATTATATTCAGTTTCTGAAACCAAAGACAATGTTGAATTTATCAGGATGAATCTCAACAGAAAGTATCACAAGCTGCCTTAAAATCTTAAAAGGAATAATTAAATCTTACCATTCTGTTGCAATGTTACAAGCTTTAACTTTATTTAACTCTTCCTGAATGGCTTGCTTGGCTCGTATTTCTGCATCAAGGGCTGACTGTAGCTCTAACCTTGCAGACATATCTAGTTTCGCAAAGCGACGCATCTTCCAAGGCATGTCCTTTAAAGAAAATGTTTTTAAATATTATTAGCTAATGTGTCTCCTAATAATACCTTAATATTTAAAACTCTAATAAACATATAACATCTCTTTTAGATAGTGGGGTGGATCCAGAGCTGTCTTTTTTGATATGATACTTATTGTTTATGTAATGGACCAAAATCCAGTGGAAGGAAAGGGAGGAGGAAGGTGGAAGTTTGTTTGCTTTGCTATTTGGCCACTTTCCTCTAGAGGATCTTTGAGCTTTTTGGAGCTTTCCAAGAAGGGTGTGTAAGGGAAAGGAGCGAACAATCTTTACTTCACTTTAATCAGTGAAAACATGGTCTTTTTTAGTCTAAGTAATAAAAGTATGGTTTCACTGGCCAGATACTTAGGCTATTATAGTCTCTCTATTGGGGAGACGGGTGGCATGTAAATGTAATAAATAAAGAGTAAATATTAAACGTTTTTGCGAAAGACTACATTAAGCATTAAAAGACTTGTTTACAGAGAGAGAGAAAATCATTTTCTGAGAAAAAATATTATTCTGTCACTCTTATCCTCTCACACAAATTTATTTAATAATTATTTATTAATAATTACTCTCTAGTGCAGCAGCCTCCAATCTTTGGGGCTTTGTGGAAAGAGTTTTTCCACAAAACTCTTTTTGTGGAAAAACTGTGGGGCGTGGTTTTGTGTGCTTCCTGCATCCTCTGAATGGGTCTTTGCTTATTTGCGCAGTCCGGTTTCCGATCAGTGTCAGTCCACAGAGCGGGAATTGGGAACCCTTGATCTAGTAGATTTAATTTAATTTAATGAATTATGTTCTACAGAGGCAGCTGAACCCTAACTCTAACCAAAGAGGAAACCTAACTGAACTGTAATGGTAGTTTACATATCTTTCTCCATGTTGCTTTCCATGTATAGTTCCTATGAAGTTTACAAATAACAGTTTTTGGTAGGGATACAATTTTAATAGCAACAACACAAATAGTGGCACAAGCAAGATGGAGTTCTCTTATAGGTGCAGTTGTTTAAAAAAATTGGTAGAAAGAATTTAAAGAAAAATCTAAATTATGTGTATACAAATATTTGCATGCTATGCCATAATTTACAATAATATAGACATTTAGTGATTTTTCTGAATTAGAAAACTACATAGTGAATAAGAAGTTAAGTGCCTGGGTGTGAGTGTCTGGTTCTAAACTGGTACAACAGTTGGTACAACATATAGTAAGCATTTATTTGATGGCTTAGCAAATTATTAGAACCAGAATCATGTAGAAAATCCAAAGCTTACTGTTGCCCTTGCACCCAAGCTGGAGCTCTTCAATGCTTCTAGTTCTTCGGTCATTTTGGAAGCTAATGCTTGAAGATAACCTCGAGCATCTTTTTCATCACTCACCCTGAACAAACAATGAACAGATTAAGAACTTTAGAAAGGGCTGTATTTGAACATAATTACATTGGAAAGTAAAATAAAAAGTTGAGAAAAACAGCAGTGAAAGTTTAACACAATTAACATGTTTAGGAAATTTTTCCCTGTTAGCTGTATCTCAAGGTATGACATTACTTTGGGAATAGCAAAGTAACAATTCCATCAGGTTGAGATCAATGCCTGTTTTCTACCCACCAGCAATACGAAACTGGTTTGAAATGGTATTTTATCACAGAAGGAATGGTCAACATAATCCTGATGCAGGCATTCTGCAGGTGCAGTAAGTGCAGAAAACAATTGCTACTACATGGTTCTTACTGCCACAATATACACTTGAACCTGGCCTAATAAATCAAGAAGGGTTTGGCATTCTGGCAGAGGTCATTTGGGAGCAATCCTATCAAGCAGCTAATTTGGTATTCTAGAACCTAACCACTTTCTCCACAGACTTGCCAAGCAGCCTGCTGGGAAACTCTCCAAATTGTTCCACCTGATGGAAACCAATGACATCCACAAAGCAGCTAGGGCAGACCACTATGGTGGATGTGCCCATTATTATGGAGCTAAGGAGTGTCTGCAAGATTCAGAATAATCATATAGAGATCTCACCATCATAAGGGATTGATGTTAATGTCTTACATCCTCAAATTATAAATCAATTACACCAACATTGTGTGATCCTCAATGTAGGTTGATACCAGGTTGACTTGCAACCAGCAAAAGAATATAATGTGAATTAGAAATTGAATTATCCTAATTTGCAATATGGCAATTTTATATAGAATCTGATCATCAATAAAATTCCATATGGAGTTCTGCAAACGGATGTCTAGAATCACAGCCAAGATAATAAAATTCCCTTGAACAGATGTAACTGCACCATCTTACATATGTGCGTCTTTATCCTTAATCAAGGACACATTTTTCTATGTATAAATGCATTCTTCATTTTTCAGTTCAATTCTGAAACAGTCTTTGTCAGATGCATAATTGTAACTTTATTCCATATTACAACTAAATCAATTGTTCAGAATTATTGTATGACAACCAATTAACACTCATCCTTAAGCAAGATATGCACATATTTAATAACTGCTGGTAAGGAATCACAACTTTTTAAATTGTGATTAAATTATGAAATAACAATTATTTTATGTAAAACCCTTTTGATTCAGGAATCTTGGCTCAATATAACCATTGTATTGCTTCTACTAGTTTTCAGTAAATGTAATATATCCATATTATATTTCTTTTCTTGTAAACAAAACTTAATTTATAGCAAAGGACAATTCCTCTCCCCCCCAAATTATGTAGCTTTGATTTATTTATGTTTTGCTTATAAATCAGGCTGTAAAAATAAAAATGGATCATGGTCCTAGGTTTAAATTATGTCAGTTCAGAATTTAAGTAACCTACTTGGACCAATCCAAGTTTTTCAGAATGATACAAATTGTCCTGCCATTAAAAAAAAAGGGAGACAGAACTATTTCTATATAAGGATAGCAAAGTTACATTACAAATAAAAATGCTAAATGCTTCTCTAAAAGACCTCTGTTTATTTTTAATAAAAAATAAGCTACACAGCTGTTGTGAAAGCAAGCAGGATGAAAATATGTTGGGCTGATAAAACATGTTAACATTAATCTTTAACATTAATCAATGTTAAAAGACTTGTGGAAAAGATAGTTAAAATTAGACCTAAATATAAAACAATGGGACAACAGATTACAGCAAAAGTATTTTTCCATGAACAATTCTGAATTTATCCCTATTTTTCACTCTTAGCTTTGTCACTTAGAAAGATATCTATTTGATATAAGCATTTTTAGTGGAAAATCAGTTTGCATTCAATGGTATTAGTTTCTGTTTAAGGAAAGTACTAAGTGTCTCTACCATGTTTTATCCACTTAAAATATTTTAATATTAGGGACAATAACAGGTCAAGGTTTTTATCTACTCTTTTGTTCTATTATATATATATTCATTCATGAAACTAATACAGATAATGAAATATAAGCAAGTGAGATTAATTCTGTTAGGTATGCCTTATGACTTATTGAAAGGAGAAAAACTTTGTCAAACATGATTTGCTCTTTTAAGTAGAGTCGGGATTATCAGAAGGCTCAAAATAGATGACAAAACTGCAAAATATTTTTTGTTATGCAAAAATAATGTACCTTACTGCATGAGTCACAAACAGAAAAATGTCCTTACCACTGAATGATCTCAGTAATTTGGGCTTCCCAGTGTGCTACAGATTCTTTTTTGTCAGCAAGATCTCTCATCTCTTCTTCAAGTTGTCGGTTACTTATACTTAGTCTTTCATACATTGCTGTAAGCTAAATATATATATATTTAAAAAATATTATAATCACAATTATGATTCTGCAATAGTGATCTGAAAGTGCTTTCTTCTGAGCTTATCATGCATTTAAAAACTCTAAATGAGGCACTAATTACATTCACATATGTATTGCCCCATGAGGTTTCTTACATTACATATGTTTATGATGTACTCTTTTTTTCCAGCTGTCTTTCTGCAAAAACAGTTGTAACCTCTGAAATTTTCCAAAGTGTCATTACTGATATATTGTCTGTAAAAGTAACACCGTAACATTAAAAACATTTAGACAAATGCTGAATATCTTTTTATTTACTTCAGCATCCAGTGGGACCCCCAAAAATGTACTTTTTAAACTTTTTTTGTCACAGCACCTGTACCTTGGAACACCCTACTGTCCAAGATTAGATCAACCCAAACCTGCTGTCTGATTACACTGGTCTTTTGGTAAACGCTTAAGAGCTGTTTGTTTTTGTGGGCATATGTATCTGGAGAGTAGTTGAGCCTATATTTCTTGGTGGCATTATTTCTTTGGCAACTATTTAATTTTTTTTTACTTATTTGTAGTATTTTTTAAAAATTTTGTTAGCTACCCAGATTTATTCTTAGCAAGACTGATGTCAATATACATTAATCTCAACAAATAAATATGTTCTATTATCAACTTTATCTAATTCTGTTCAATACATTAATGCATATTTAAACAAGAGATCAGTCACCTTGTCAAGCTCATTGGAAAGCTTCTTGTTCTCTTCAGTCAGCAGAATCTTCTCCCGTTCATATTTATGTTTGAATTCTGTTTCAAACTCCTCCCTTTCATTTTGGCTATAGTAAAATGTGCAACAGTTACCATATATAAAATATAAGTTCCTCATGTTTGTTTTGTTACAACTTAAAATAAACATAAAAATATTAAGATTCCACAGTAACCAAGACGAAAAAGAATATAGTAATCCATACAATATGCTCTATAATAACACCATATAATATTAGAATTTAAGTTAGCAGATGTTTGCGGTTCCAATTTATAAATGCCTTAAACATATGGATTGTTTGAAGTGTGCATCATTATAACCAAAGTATATCTAGGTTTAACTGAATAAAGCCCTTTAATTTCAGAGAGAATTATATTGCATGGATGTTCTGGATGACATTCCTTCAGCTTCATTATTATAATATATAGTCTATGAATTCAAACAGTCACAGTTCAGAGTAAGTGTTCTGATTCAATATGATTACTCATTTTTATAACACTACATTTTCAAAATCCCAGTCAGTACAAAAGAAACAATTGCCATATATGGTTTCAAAATCTGAAAAGCTTGATGAGATTCCCATTATGTTAATAAAGTTGGTCTAATTATAACAAAATTCCTGAAACATCCAAATGCTCGGTTATCATTAGGAAATCTTCTTTAATATGAGCATTTCTAATTTTCAGCAAAAGTAACATTTTATAGGCCATGAAAAACTTAAAAGTGAGAGGGGCAGACAACTTTTCTAAGAAATGTGAACATATCGCCTTACATTCCTGTTTCAGATGAACAATAACTATGTCGAGGGAGAAACAACTTATCTCATAACATCTTGTAAAACAGTCTCCAAACTGTTTCGTATTAAACAACCTGCATAAATAATGTTAATTTTGAGATTTATAAAATAAAATGAGAATTGTCTTTCTCCTGCTTCTAATTTTTTTTACTGGATGATTGGAAGATCCTTTAGAAAAGAGAGAAATCAGTGAGGCAGAATACAGGGGGAGGACAGTGGGATCCAACTCACTTTCCTTTTTAATGCACTTCAACTATATTGTTGGCAATATACAAAAATGAAAAATTACGGAAACTATTTCACTTAGGGGAAAACTGTCCTTTTTGCATTTGTCACATCATAATGTGATACTTGAAAAAGTTACCTATACTGTAGATTGCATTTCCTTATCACAAAAACATCTTCAGATCACTACTTGTTTTCAACCTTTACCTGACAGAATTTGCTTTGTTTTATTGTGGAAAAATGAATCACATTTTATATTATTATTATACAATTGTATCACAGCGGCCAGTTGTTTCGCCGGATTTGGCATTGGTTACTAGTCGGGC